TGATAGACACTTTTCCCATAGAATATTCATATTTTTGATTAGTTCAACAAGGGATTGAGTCCCTACACGTAACCACGTAACACGTTCACGTTTCAATTTTGGAGGATGATTCATGCTGTGGCAGTCTGGCTTGATGTTTGGCTGTTTCTATCAGTGGGTCCCTTATTCTCTCCTCTCACATTCCATAATAATTGATAGTTGATACTGTTTTATTTGTACCTAAAGAAAATAACGCTGTTTTTTTTTTCTTTTCTTTGAAAACTTAAATTTTCACATCTTTTATCTATAACTAAAAGAGAGAATTCACTAAAGGACAAAAATGTCCTGTGCCTACTTTAAATCTTGTAAATCAGATTTTTTTTTTCATACTTAACCGATTAATAATAATAATAAATTAATAAAAGAAAAAGTATTTCTTCGGTCACCGGAAATAAAATTATTTCCAGTGAGCTTAAAACGACGTCGTTTTGGGTTATAAGATTAAAAAATTATAGTGATAAAGACTAATATAACCCTGCAATATAATATAATTACAAAAATGCCTTGATTTCACCAGAGATAACTTATCTCTATTGACTGAAGAAATCCTTTACCCATTAATAAAATAATAATACTATATACCCTTAATGGGAACTAAATGAAAAAATGTAAATTAAATTAAGGATTCATTTTTTCTGCAGTTACTGCAGATAAGTTATCTGTAGTAAGCCCAATACGACATCATTTTGGGACGAAAATCATGGTGTTTTTGTAATTTTAATTTATTTCAGGGTTATTATAGTCTTTATAATTATAATTTTCTAATCTTTCAATCTCAAAACGACGTTGTTTTGGAAGTAAATGCAGATAACTTATCTGCATTAACTGCAGAAATATTTTTTTGTTAAATTAAAACAGAAATTATATTTCAAACGAAAATTAATTAAGAAACAAAAACTAATTGAGAAACAAAAACTAAATAAGTCAGCAATAGCATAAGTTTTCTATCCCAAGCTCAGAGAAATAATAGTATATACATTTAATGAGATTTTAATAGAAAAACATAAATTAAATGAAAACGAAAACTAGATAAAAAATAAAAATTAATTGAGAAACAAAAACTAAATGAGTCAGCAATAGCAGAAGTTTTTCATCCCAAGTTGGGCTCAAAAAATAATAGTATATACCCTTAATGAGATTTTAATAGAAAAACGTAAACTAAATAGAAATGGAAACTTCATGAAAAATGAAAATTAATTGATAAACGAAAACTAAACGAGTCAGCAATAACAGAAGCTTTCCATACCAAATTATGCTAAAAAAAAATAGTATATACCCTTAATGGGAACTAAATGAAAAACTTAAACAAAATTAAAACGGAAACTATATTTCAAATGAAAATTAATTGAGAAACAGAAACTAAATGAGAAACAAAAATTGATTACATGGTTTAAATTGGATTCATGTATCCATTATTATATGGGATCTTTATTTTTATTTTTGATTAATTGTTATTCTAATGTCATTATTTTTTCATTGCGATTGAGGAAAATGGGTCTCTTTGTGGTCACTTCCTGTTGCATAATTGTTGGACTTCATGGCTCAATCAGTTAAGAAGTTCACTACAATAAAAGAAAAAAAAATGTCTAAACCCATCCAATGACACATCAACTCAATTTCTAGTATTAAATTCATTAGACTGTTCCATTGGTCAGGCTCTATCCCTTTCCCACTGTTATTATAGTAGTAGTTCCACGTTGTACTACATCGTTGATAAATTCACACTGTTATTTATAGATGAATTCAGTGTCAGTTTGTCGTCTGGTGCTCAACTCACCCAAACCTCGAATCAATCTTTAAATAAAGCATCTCTTTTTCTTTTTTTTTTTTGTAAATAATAAAGCATCTCTTAGGTACATATCGAATTATAATGCACTACGTATACTTAACCACATATGAACTAAATATTAATTATTTGTTTCTTACGTCAATATGCAATAGAGGAACACATGGCATACTCTTCATACACAACCCATTTCAATAGTGTGCAACTTTCGCATAACGAGGACCAATCAATAGTTTGTCAATTGCCCATCGGCTCCTTCATGCCTGTATAAGAAATGAGTTTTTACTTTCACTCAGATATAATATGGCTTTAAATTCAGAAAATGAAATAGTGCAAAAATATGATGGGTTTTTGGGATTTGTATATTATTCTAAACTTATTAAACTCCCTGCTACGAATAAGATACTATTTTGCACATCCACTTTTATGCTTTTGATGAATGCCTCTTATATATATATATATATATATTCACTACAATATATGGCTGCCCGTTTAAATGATTACATAATTTTTTTGTACTTTTACTTGTGAGCAAGGAAACTCATTGAAAAGTGACTATATGAGGGCCTAATTTCAAAAATCATAAAAGTCTATACATTTTACCCAAGATGAAAACATGCTGCCTATTTTATACAACAGTGTGTTTAGACCATCCAGAATGGGGGAAGCACTTACTGACATATCAAATGGCAGTTTTTAACTTCTCAAAGTTACTTATTTCATAATTTGGTTATATAGTGATCTGTCAAACAAAATATTGTTAATTCATTGTATTTCATGAAATTATGCAAGTTGAACTCTCAAATCAAAAAAAGGATGCAAGACTGTTAAGGAGAAGGATAATATTAGAAAAGTGGTCTGCGAAGTTGACAAATAATGACTCGCAGAGAAATAGTTCTATGAATGGTAGTTGTTGTGTCCAACTAGGTATGCTTCATTTATTTAATCTGACAAGTATTTACATTTTTTATAGTGCTATAAACTTGCATTATTTACTTTGGTTTGTGGTGAAATTGGAGACCTATACTAGTGTATTTGATGATAATGTGGTCCAAAATAGTGTAACCAATTCATTTACTCTGATATCACATATGATGTATTCTATCTACTATAACTGTGAATTTTGTAATTTTTTTGTTTAGGGTAATTTTGCAAACAATGTTATTTTTTATGTATTGTAATCGTGGCATGAGTATGCTTAATCATACCAAGCTATTGCAAATTGTTCGCTCACTTGCATCAAGCTTAAATAATGATATCGTTGGAGTTGAAAAAATCAATCACAATATCCCTATTATCATTAGTTAGTAACCCTTTTATGCACTACTTTTATTTTCGAATAATTTATCGACATACCATATTTCTTTATTATTTTCACCTTATTTTAATAATTTGTTATTTCATCTGTACATTGTATGAACCTTAATAATTTGTAATTCTTATAAACTCATGTCAAATGTATAAAACTACATGCTTTATTCATTGTTTGTTAGATTATTGGGATATTGGTGATGCCATTTTCTATTGTGTGCATTGTGGAGCATTGATGTGGTACGACGAAAGAAATAGAAAGAATAGGCAACCTCAAAATCCAGAGTTTACACTATGTTGCATGAATGACAAAGTCTATCTTCCACTCTCTTAAAAATGGTATTCTTAGCATTAGCCTGATGGACGTTTTGTTGGCCAATGGCTAAAGCAAGATCTTCAATGGCCCTCAGATGTCGGTCCATTTCTTCAGCAACAGCGTTATTTGTGGCCATTTAGGGTCATGACAGGTATAATACCTAATCATAAGACGTATATTTTTAAAATTCTAAGTGTTTGAGTTCATTCTCAGAATCAACTCTAACTATCACTTCTCTCATCATATATATTCATGTATCAAAAATCAATCATCAGATATTGCAATATAAATTCAAACGATAAACCAACATAAATTCAAACAATAATTTAATATAAATCGAAACGATAATCAAACATCTTTAAAAATAAAAGGAAAATAAGAATTACATTATTCTTCTTTATTCAAAAGATAATAATTACTCATAAAAGGAACCCCTTAAGCCTATAAAAAATTCTACCCATTTGCTTATGTTCCCAACGTCTTCTAAGGTCATATGATGGGGGGTTCTTCTAACCTTTCAAGCTTTTCTTCACAAATCCTTAATGCATCTTTCAACATACTATTTCATGGTCGTGGACGTTTATGTTGTCCAGAATTTATTAATGTCTTATTTATCGCATCTTCAATTTCTTGAACCTCCTTCTCAATTTCGCTTACGAACTCTATCACCTCCTGATAACCATAAGGGAACCAACCCCTAAGAGGGGTTTTCTTTTCTAGCATTTTTCTCACCATTCCAAGACTTCCATACTTTAGGAGTGCCCTAATAAAGTACTTAGTCCAGAAATTGAGGTAATCCTG